CCGGGCAGGAGGGCGAGCCCCGCGCTGGGGCGGCGGCCGCCGCAGCCGTGGGCAGGAGCGGGCAGGGCGTGGGGGAACTGAAATGCGGGCTGTGAGTCACGGGAACATCATCCCAGGATGAAGTTATTCCGCTGCTGAAGTGTCCGTGGGAGTCCGGGGCGAGGGAGTGCAGTGCGAGATTAACGGTTGGACTCCATGATCTTAAAGGTCTTTTCCAACCTAAACGAGCGATTTTGTGGCTCTAACACGCTGCACGTCCCGTGGTGGTTATCAGGTTGCTTTCCACTCGGATACTTTAAGGCAGACACTTTCTAGATAGTTGGCTTCTGCAGTAAAAGCACATTCTCGGTGCCCGAGCAGAGGTGTTCCTGTCCATACGGGCATGCGCATGAAGGCTCTGTTGGTTTTCTGCATCCCTGTCACGCGTTGGGTTCATGACCTGCAAGTCTCCGAAGATCATTCTGTTACCGGTTCGAGGGGAGCTCACCGGAATGGTGGAAGTCTGCAGCATGAACGGAACGTGTATATCGGGGGGCCCTTCTCATTCTCTCTTTAGTAATAGAGCTTTATGCTTTTAAGGGTGGCTGTGTTAAAGAACTTGATCCTATATGTGCATTTTTAATGTGCTTGAATTCCTGCATGTCACGCTGTTTCGCCAACAGTTTTCTCAGCCCGCATAGATACATAAAAGAAGTTGCTTTTAAAAGTAACCAAGCAAGAACCTGATTCAAGCATACTTGAGTTTGTATCCTCTTTGGTATTGTTCTTTTTTCCTTGTGTTGACAATAGAAGCCCATTTTATTTCACTAACCTATTCCTAAGTTATTATGCAAGAGGAGATGGTGAAAATGCAATGTGGTACATCAGTGGAACCAGACTTGATGATAGGATCATAAGGACAGACGGGGATGCAGGATTTAAGGAGGGTAGACAGTATGGTCGTGGAAGATCAGGGGGCCAGGCAGGTTGTACATCCTGGTTTTTAAGGGACTGGTGACTTTGCCAAGCTACTGCTTTTTTGGGTGAACACACTCAGAACAACTTCAGAAATAGGAACTTTTGAATTATTGTTTAATATAGTACCGTATGTTAGTCTGTAAGAAATCTGACCGGTGATGACATTATCCACTAAGTATAAGTAACTTTTTCATGTATTTCATGTATTTCCTCATGAGAGGATTTTCAGAAACTTCAGCTGCTTGGGGAGATAATGCTTATTAAAAAGCCCAGAAGATGTAAGGCTGTCAAGAGCATAGCAGACAGCACTTAGCTTACCTAAAGTTGAGGAGGTAGCAGATGCTTTTGCTACTGAAGGATGAGGCTAGCCAGCCTCATTTCGGCTGTCTTGGGTAAAGAGTCCCCCTGGGCATTACTGAAAAGGAAGTTAGGTTATGCTGTATTCTGAGCTTATGCACCATGCACCTTGCCTTCTGTTTTGTCAGTCAGCTCCCTGTGGCCACTTGCATGTTGTGAACTCAGTTTGGCTGTATTCTGATGGTTAATAGTTTTTGATAAATTGTTTTTCTTCATCTTTACTAGACTTCCCATTTTTTCCTTTGTAAGGTCCGAGGTGAATATCGGCAAGACTATGATGCTGGAAGAGGTGGCTATGGCAAAACTGTTCAATGCCAGTGAATAGTGAATAACTCATCAGCCTCACGGGAGAACTAAATCTGCATTGTAAATGTCACCAGGCACAACATAGGTCTGTTGCACACAATTTATGTGGCTAGAAATTCACAGAAGCTACTATCCCTGTTCCTGAGATCACATAGTATGTTCAATAACTCTTCTGTTTTAATCCCAGGATCCAAAGCATTGCAGAGTACCTTAGTACAGAGGACCTGGGAGTGAGGTTATAAGCAGTAGTGTGCATGAGGCTTTGGTCTCTAAATGCTGCTGTAACTCTACCGAAAGGAACAAAGCTTTAACACTATGGTGCTTTGTTTCACTGGCGAAAACTTGATTATTCTATCACTGGGTTTTGTTTACATTAGTATCACAGGGTGGAGAGCCACAATAAAGAACGATTGGTGTATGCTTCAGAGAGGAAAGAAAAAGGCAAAGAGCCTGAAAAGGACATGGATTTTCTAGAGATTTTTTTCAATTTTTAGGGAAGATTTAAAGTTGCACATTTTCTGGGGTCACTGGATTGCATCCTTTTACACTGGTGCTGTTCCTAGCACACCTGCGTGGATGGCCAAGATAAAACAAGTCAGACTGATGAGCCCAGGAATCACAAAGCCTAGCAGAGAGCAGGAAACAGACCCTTGCAGTCTTCTACAGAGTATAATGCGGTTGCAAGACTTGGCATGATTCAGAGCCATTTTGCTTTGTGGCATACAGAGAACAGTAAGTGTAAGAATTACAGTTGCAGTTGTTTTCACAGTTGCAGTAATATCATTCTGCTCCTGTCGGGGAGCTCTCTACAGCCTTAATATTTGGGAAACAGTAGCTTTCCTGTGCCTACAAGTGTTGCATGAAGCCAAGCTATACAGTTACTTCCAAGAATGGGATGTTTGAGGAACTGTGTGTATAATGAGAAAGTTTGTTCTCAAAATAGATTCACTATCTGAGAAACCTGATTTCTGACAAAGGTAAAAGTAAAAAGAGATGGGTTTTAGGAGTAGCTTTACTTTCTACTGAGCATGTGGTAAGAATGGTAAAAGAATTGCAGGACTGTACAGATCCCCCTCCCCGTCCTATGAATACTGCTAGGTTATACGATGGGATTTTGATGTACTGCAGCCATAATAATGAAAATAATTAGTGATCCCAGAATCTGCAAAATTGACCTGCTGAAATGAAATAGTTTAAAAGGAACTGTTACAGGGATTTGGATTATTTTAAATGGACTTCTGAGTTCTTTAGAAATGGTAATTTGTAAAGTTTTGTCCAAATACCTTGTTGTCCATGACTCCTTAAAAAGCTTTAAAATACCGGGTATGTGAAAGTTGATCTTTACTCACTGAAGATACTGTTGGGTATCTTGATGTGTTTCCTGTGTACAGTTAGTCACAACTATTACTGTAAATTTGAAATACAGTGAGGTAGAACAACTGCAATGAGAATTTGCTTAGTTAGGAAACAAGGATTTGAGTGGACTTTGTTTTTTTTAGAGTAAATCTAGCTTTTCAGGTTCACTAGGTGTGGTCTGCATCAATACTTTGAACAAAGTTACCTTTTTCTATGTAGTACATTTGATTATGAGTTTACAGCCTGTAATCTGCTCTAGGAAACCTCTGAAGTTTATTTTTCATTGTATTGATTTTGTATAAAAAATGGTGTTACCAAAATTCTAAGTCATTTTCAAATAAAGCTGCAACATCAAAATGGATTGGTTTGTTGTTGTTTGTTTGTTTTTTTTTTTAACAGAATCAGTGAGAGAAAGAAGCTATATTCAGATTGTTGTCCACATCCTTTATTCTAGTGTCTTTCAAGATGGAGAGAGTGAACATTCCTTCCTTTTGAGTGGATTTTCAGTCTTGTTCAGTTCTTAACTGGGTGCTGAAAGATGTTTGGTAAATGCTTTTTATTCTAGTACTTCTTGGATTTCAGAACAGAAATTAAATTATGTACTTACTGATGCTGAAGTGGACATGAAAGTCCTTAGTGTGTAACAAGTAGTTTTCAAGATGTACTTCCTTATAAAAATGAGTTTTAAAATTATTTCTTATTGTAAATGCTGCAAGACAGTCATTCTTAAATGAAATGGAGATGATAATAAGATTTTCCTTGAAAACCATCACTGTCTTTTGCTGCACATGTGATGTGTACAGAAAGATTTTGTTTTAAAGTGAGATTTTCTATTTTGAGAAAAGTTTCAATCAATATGGGATTTAAAAGCACATGATATATCATGTGAAGTCTTAGTATCTCAGAAGTGCATATAAAGGAAAATTGAACATGGTTTGATTTTTGCCTTCCCTAACTGAAATCAGACATGGCTCTGCTGAAGCTAGCGCTTAACAAAAGTAACTGAATTAAGTCTTTAAAACTTCACTGGGGGGATGCTTTAGCTTTCTTACATGGCAATTCTTTGTGATCAGATTCTCTTGGAAGTGTAGGATCTCCTGTGATTTTTTTGACATACCAGTTCATTATGATTATATATACTTCCATAGAAGTTTAAGCTCTATATCAATTAGCTTTTCAAAATACTTGTTCCTCATAATTAGATCCTTTTATGGAATTGTATCCATAAAGAAATACAGCAGCTAAGAATATGAGTGGTATCTTAGATATGCCGTGGTGGAAGAGACGCTGTTGCAAATTAAGGAAGTGAGATCTTGAGTCTCTCCCTCAGAGTGGTGCAGGCCCGTGATGAGTTGATTCACATGCCTCTCTTTGGCTCCAAGAGCTGTAAAGAGGATTTGTATTCACAGCATTTGAGTCTTTGTATTACAGTGTAAAATCGGTAGAGTGTAAATTAAAGACCTTCATTTTCAGTGTCTGACAAAATAATCCCTGTTACCAGTGTACCCCTGCAGGCTGTTTTCAAGGTGATCTTTATGTTAGTCAGGTTACTTGCCACCTTGTGCAGCAGCAAAGCTCCTGCTCAGGTTGGTGCCAGTGCAGCCACCAGTGGTGGTCATGAAATGGTTCTTTCTACACAGATGATTCTGAAAGACAAAATGATTAAAGTATTTAAGATAACATCCAGCACCTCATCATCAATATCTTGTAAGATTAGGCTTCTTGTGAAGGTAAAAGTAGATGAAGAACTCTGCTGTAAAAATTGATGTGGTCCGTACGAAGGCTTTTTCTAGAGTCACAGACAGTACTAGTCCAAGCAGTCCACTGGGACTGAACATCTCATAAACTGAGTTTCTGAAGCACAGATGGTACCTTATGTTACAGCATATAAACACAGAAGAGTTAGGGTGGGCATTTTTCTTTGCAGCCTCTGGGACTTCTGCTCTTAGCTGAGTGCATTTGGTACTTTCAGGTAAGTGTAGGGCCTGATATGACTACAGGTGAAGTATCAAAAAATTGCTGAAGACTGCAGGGAGAAGCATCCTGGGCTTCAAAACGTCTTACCGTGTTTGGGAAGTAATGGCATAATTTATTAATTGGCTGCTTTCATATATCTCCTGCCTGTTCCTGCTGAAATAAGCTTTTGCACAAGGGATTGGACATACTCAGAGCTGCGCCGCAGTAATGCACACAACTCCTCTGCTCTCCCTTTTGGGATAACTAGATGGTGTGTGTGTTTCTCCTGGCTTGGGGGAGGAGGCCTTCCTGCCCTTGTCTTGCTAAGACCAGTGTAGAGTTCCAGCTTATGACTGGCAGGTGTTATCTCCATTACTGCTTCATCTCTTTCTGTCCCATGTAGGCAGAGGAAGGTTATTCACAGCTGGCTGTGTTTGTATCCCAGGGTTTCAGTAACGGTGCAAACTGAAAAACAGGCCTTGCTCATTTCTCAAAAGTGTGCTCTATCTAGGCTGGATGAGAAGCCAGAGTAAAGAAGAGAGGTTTTTTTTGCGTGACCATCCACTTAATTTTTAAGAATGAATTTATGATTTGTATGCAGAATTAAAAGGATGCTAGCATAAAGCTCCTTTGAGGCTTATTTTCAGACCTTAAACTGATTGAACTATGGAAATTAAGAGAGCTTACTACTTTTTTCCACCTGCAGACAGCCATCAGCACTGCACAAGGAGACACCCTAGAAGTTTCAGCTAAGCAAATTGGTCATGGTCATGTCTATTCCAGAGCCTTGTACACACCCCAAGGGGTACGTACACATGAAGTTAGGACCGTGCACTTCAGGCATCAGTTTCCCAGTATGGTGTCCCATTACAGACATGACTAGTCATGATCAATTCTAGAAAACAGAATTTGAGAGGAAAATGGATCACAAAAGTCTTTCATTATCACCTATGTGTATAATTTACTCTAAGCTTGGCCCAGAGAGGTCTTCTGCAGGTCCTACTTTCTTAATGCTTCACAGTTATATTTTATTTTTTATAGCACATGGTGGGTCAGGATTGAGGAGTCTTCTGTGTTCTATTCTGGGCAAATAATTTAGGTCTGGAGAATCCATAAAAATATAGTAGTTGTATGTCAAGACCATATAACTTCATCCAGTGTCTGCCCCACAAAGGTAGAAAGGGTATATTGCATCCCTGTCAGTTGACAGGGTTACATGAAGGAAAAAGTTCACTGACCTTGAGAAACTGCTTTCTGAAAGCAGGAGAAATCCATTCTTGTGTCAGGGTTCCACAGTTTATGAAGATTGCCTTCCTGTCTCTCTGCTTCCCAGCCTGCTTTCAAAGACAAATATGTACTGTATTTACTTCAGTGAGGTAATATTCCCCAAGATTATTTTAGCTTCAACCTGAAGGTTATTTGAGCGTCTATTAAGGTTCCTTACAGGAAAAAAACCCCAAACATAAATAGGTAGCCAAACTCCTTGCAACACTTACTACTTAAAATGTTTAGATCTGACACAAATAATTTTTTCCTTTAGCAGACCCATGAAATTTGAGTTTAAAACAGTTCAGGAGCAGCACAAGTAAAATGCCAGATGGCTCCCTCTAGTGACTACAAAATTAGCATGCTTTCATATTCTGACAGCGGAGATGGCTCCTGAAAGCTGTTTTGTGCAGCGTTGTTGCGTGTTGTACTCTCCCAGGATTTTGCTTTGGTTTGTGTTGTAAAAATGGACAGTTTTCATCTGTGGACCATTTTCTAGAGTGAGAAGGATTTGTGGGTTTGTAGCCCATTGCTGTTTCTCTGTTTGGCAAGAGCTTAGTTGTCTTTTATACTGAATGTTGTGATATGCTGTGTCTGGGGTGACTTCTTTCCCTGCCCCCAGCAACCTCTTCGGATTTTGTCAGAAGCACACCTGGGATACTGAAGGAGGGCTTGGCTCTTAGATGCCCAATTCATGCTTCACAACCTCCCATTAATTATATTTTGTGTAACTTTGCCAGCAAATCCCCTTGTGCCAAAAATCTGTTTTTCAGTCTCTAACAGGTGATGAAATAAAGTTCTGTATTACACACAAAGTAAATGTATGCAGCTTGACAAGACAGTAGGCAGTGTCTGAAATGCCTAATTTGTTTCTGTGGCATTACAGTAGTCCTTCAGGCACTTTGCAGACTTGAATATCTATTGCTTGGAGTATCTCTGTGGCAAAGTGCTGCTTTTTTATCTTACAGATTTTTGATCTGGGGCATAACGGGGCTTATGCTGTGTGTGAGACAAGCCCGTGATGGATGAGGAGTTGAGCCTCTCAGTCTCCTCAATGCTAGCACTGACTAGACTGTGCTGATGTATTTCAGTAACATGGGGGTGTAAGGAAGACACACGAGTATGCTTCTCACACATGGTTTGGGAAGATGAGCAGTACTTGCAGATTATAGATTAGATCTTTTAAACCATTTTTACAAAATAATCTTAAATATCTTGAGAAGAAAGTAGGGATCAAGTGGGATGAATCCTGTCCATGCAGGACTGCTGTTATTTGCTTCATATTGATGCCTTCCAAAGCAGCTGCAGGCATCTTTGCTTGTCCTCCACTAGTCTGATGGTACTGCTGTACCATTTTACAGCTAGGGAACAGCTGAGTGAAGACTATGCTTTAAACTTCCCTTTTTAATTTCCTTCCCAGGAGCACCTTTGCCTGGGTTCCAGAGGGTGCTTCTCGATGGGAACAGGACTGCATGGAATGGCTTTTCCTGTGAATCCCTCAGCAGAATGGAGGGTCTTGGCTGTCCATTGCACCTTTGTGCTGGGGCTGAATTCGGCAGAAGCAGTAATCTAAGAGTGCATGACCTGAATGAAATGTAGATTTACTTCTCTTTTCACATTTGAAGGCCAAATATGAGTTACTGCTGGTGTAGGATTTTATTGCTTTGAAGGTGCTACAGCAGACATTTGATTTGAAAACCCTTTTTTGGCTGTTTGTAAGAGCAGCAGTTCTGGTCGAATGTTCCTCCTAGAAGCTTTCTCTTTGTTCTCCAGTGCTCATCTCTGACTACGTAAAACCTGCTGTATTTTGTTCTGTTACCACCAACAAAGTCTAGACAAAGCCAGTTGCTTCTGCCCTGACAGGACAATCTACCACTCTTCCAGAAGCTGTATGAGGGGCTGTGTCAGGGTTTCAGACACCAAGTTGCACAGAGAGAAGCTGAAATACCTTCCATCCAAAACATGAATACCTTCCATCCTAAACAATTGTGAATTAAGCATTACTCCGTTAATGACTGGGAAAATATCCTTCTTGAGTGCCTTGAGGATGAGTATGTTTTTGAAAATAAGACTGTATCTTAAGTATTGTTGTTGGCTTTAATTTTATTTCATTAGAACTACCTCTGATTTCCT